AATGACTTACACTGGCACGGTATACTTCCTCACGTAAAATTCGATTTTTGGCATTTTGCATTACATCCACAAAAATAGGGTCATCCAATTTAATCATCCATGGTCCATTCTGAGCAGTAGCATTTTTGTGCCCCTGTTGAGAGTAGCGTGAAGGCAAAACTGTAAAGCAAAGCCAGCCAAGCAATACATGTAGCATGAGATAGGACAACAATAAAAAAATGTATTTCAGTATGAAGTACCTTAGACACCGCTTTTTGTGCAGCCAATTGAAGAGTCATAGCTCCCAATCCTTCAATATCTTTCTTATCCATTATCAGTTTTTCATACCTTTTTGTCGTGATGGAAACATTGTCATAAAATTTTTGAGATAGTTTTGCCAGCTCCTACAAATTAATTTAAGGGAAAGAAAATAATAACAGTCCTAAAACAAAAATTAAACAGCAAAGTACAAGTACTTATTGATCGAGCATGCCAAACAAATAAAGATAACTCCCTACTACCCTCACCCCCACAATATGTACTTATATGTATTTGAAATTATATGTATGTGTGAAGAAAGAAAAAGAATATCATCAACAAAAGCAGTACCCTTTACTCAGTGGTGGACTAGGTGTAAAAAAAAAAAAAATTGAAAAACGTTTTTTTATGTTTAAAGTTTTTTTTTTCTTTTTTTTTTTTACCCATTAGCCCGCTTAAAAAAAAAATCGATCCTGGATCCGCCCCTGTCCTCACTAATTTCAATATATAGGACCAGAATCAAAATTTATCTAGCTACAAATAGCAATGACCAATTTAGATTAGAAGCAACAAGGTGCTCTAGAGAAATGTTTCCTCGATGATCTATAATTTGGAATGAGTAAATCTTGTGCTACCTTTCATTTAAGCAAGGAAGAAAGGCATCAAGCTGCTCAATTTTCAGAACACACATTATTAACAAGATTTTAAAAAAAATCATTAAAGCATGAACAAAGAAAGATAATATTCCCAATAAGTAGGATTGCCAGATAGTCATAAAATGTAATGATACCGTCTCACTTCTATAATCCTATCTGATCATGCGGGCCTACTTGTGGTTATATGGCTCATATATTATTTTCACAGAAAATGTACTAATCCTCCACGTCAACATGATCTTACTTGCAATACTGAACAATTTGACCTGGATTCTATGATCCTGTAATCCTCCTTGTGATTCTCTATATTTTTTTAACTAAGTACGATTCTCAATTAACGCTGAGCACTGGAACATTACAAAAATGTAAAAGTTGGTTCCATTTCGGGTACAATTGCCATTGAATGAAAATTAGGGCATTTTGCCAGGAATTCATTGACACCATTGACACTGATGAGTAATTATGTCATTCCATGTATTTTTTTTCCTTCCACTCCTCTAACTTCCTGAGAAATCTTCCCACCATAAAAAAGGTAATCAATAAATGTCAACAGAGGGAGCTCTGTATTAGATTAATGTCTTCATTGAGAACCTATAGTAGTAAAGTGCAGTAAGAAAATTGCCACTATGACTTTACTGACCAAAGCATACCTGTTCAATTTTATTAAATTGCTCTCTTTTATCATCCTCAAGGTTAATACCTTTTAAAACTGTATCCTTGATTTTCGCTGCAAGATTAATTGTGCAAGACAAAACCATTAAGAAATGTCAGTTAAACATTGTCTCAAAGCTACAAAAATTCTGTAATTTAATGTCATTATGCATCATGCAGCTGCTGGATTTTCATTATAGAAATAATCTTAAGAATATGTCAAAATCTGTTGTCATAACAAATACAAGTTTGGTGATACATACATTCAATTATCCGTTTTCGAGCATCACTTAGTGTGTCCCAATCTGGAGATTCTTTAATAGCTTTGAACGCATTGTAAATGGGCTTACTCTGTTTCAACCTAAGTTTAAATGCCAGTCTTTCCGGCTTCAAACCAAAATCAACATCAAAAATGTTTCACAAAACTATAAAAACAATAAATTCATGAAGAATATAAGTGCATTTGTACGTGTATCAATATGTGTGTATGTACCAGAACTTCTATAAGGGCATCACGTAGCTCGATACGGTGTTTGACATATGTGAGATGGAAAACAGCAGCGGATACATCATACAGCCTATCTTCTATCCTAACCAGTGGCTCCACAAGCTTCGACCATGTCGGCTCTACAGTCCTCTCCAGTTCCTCCAATTCACATTCCTAAAATTCAAATCATATATACATATCAATAAATTCCTCATCAAATAATTCAAATAAACATCAATAAAATTTAACACACACGAGTTGTCTGAGCAAGGAACGGATCCCAGGGCGAACGTGGCTGGCGTTGATGGAATCATATGGAAAAAAATAGAATTCTTTCAAAAGAGGATTATTCTCTGCGTCATCAACTGGCGTTGACATTCTTGCGACCAGCGGCGATGCAGAAGAAGATTAGGATCGAACGGTGTGGAGAGTGAGAGTGGAAATGCAGAAGAGAAGAAAGGACTGGGATGTGAGTTATACTGAGGCATTTTATCAAACAGATAGGTCGGTATAGCGGTTAAGTTGAATACAGCGGGAAACTGAGAATCGGCTGCTACCGTTGGAATTAACCAACTGTATTGGCTACTTAACTATCAAAGACGGTCATAGCCCTATCTTTTTTAAAATCATGTATTTTTCAATAAAATAATATTACACGTAAACTCAAAAATTTTCCTGATGGTCCGTTGACTCCCATTTTTTGTGTAAAATACATTTTGGAATAATAGATTAATAGATAATATATAATTAAAAATTAAGAAAAAAATTTGTGTTGTTTGTAATATTATTTTATTAAAAAATGAATAGTTGAAAAGAAGATAGATAAAAAATATATTTTTAAAAAAATGTGGATAAAAAATGACTTATTTTTTAAATACATATTCTCAATCAATCTATTATTTCAATGAGAAAGAAACATACTCGTAGGGTAACAGATAAGAGTTAATTGTCCCAATGGTCACTGAACTTATGTCCGTATCCTCATTGCTCTATGAAATTTAAGATGTCAAACTTTGACCACTAAACTTATTCAAACATTAGAAGTTACTCACAGACATAACACTCGTTTCAAATCGTTAATAGAATTAGTGACGTGACTAATGAAATGCATATGTGCGCGCCCCTTCACACAGTTAACAAATTGTATTCAATTGCTCATTAAATTTTGAAAAACGTCTTAGAATGTTTTCTGAAGTTTGAGGTGATTGAATTTTGGTTATTAGACTTATAAAAAATGACGTTGAATTGTTGTTCTTTAAAAAATGTGTACTGCAAGCACATGAGTCTCATAAAAGTAATAAAATGGATAAACGAGTTCGGGTTGTTGATTTCACGAGAAATGATTACTCAATTACACAATAGCTAAATTTTTAAGCTATTTCATCGTTTAAAAAATTCAAATTTTTTGTGTTTCATTTTTAAATTAGATTTTTTTTTTTTATTACCATGACGCGTAATTTATGTTTCTTTATTCGATTTGTTGGTTGAGTTACAACTTACACGAGAACTTGATTTTATTTTATTTTTTCCTTGCTCAACCCTCATAAATAAGGAAAATAAATTTTATATTTTTCTAGTTCTTGTTTTCCATAATGAACCTGATCGAGTGACCACTTTTTAATTATATAGTAAACCCAATAATAAAAATTATATTACAAAGTTTTCTCCACTAAGGTTTATAAAGTGTCTTTTAACTCCCTCAATTTTAAAATACAATTTAAAAAAAAAAATTTGATTGATTTTATTTTATTTTTCTTATTTCGGGTTGAGATCGAAAAAGAGGTAGCACAATTGACCCTAGTCAGGTACCTTTATTATTTCATTATCCGTATTCAATTTTCTTAAACAATTGGCAATTTCAAAACCAAAAAGAAATTTAAAATTGTAACTTGTAAGAAGCAATTCTTATTCGCTTGAATCAAGAATTGAGCAATGAGAAATAAAAATTTAGGAAGCGTTGCAAAGAAAGTCCCAACACTTACAATTATACAATGAAATAATGAATCTTCGACCTTCAAAAAATTCATCTAAACGATTTCTGTCTCGATGACTGGTGACCTTAATTGTTTTGGTTAGCCAAAAAACAATATAGAAAGTTTCCATAAAAGAGAGGATATAGAAAGATTGGAAGAGTGAACACTTGGTTACAAATTTTTTTTTTTTTGGAGTAGTTTCTTTTTACATTTTTGGGTGAGAAATAAGAAAAACAAATGCAAGAAAAATGCATGATTTAAAGCGTTTCACTCTTAATAATGTGTTTTGAACTCATCTCCCTCTATTATCACTTTAATGACTAATACAGTACACCTATAAAGGCTCGCTCTTGTCCCTTTAGGGTAACTGAATATGTGTGAATTTTTTAAAGTTTACGTCCTTGTTTGAAATTGATTTTTTTTAAGAATAACTTTTTTTTTTGTCATATTTATTTTCAATCACACATTGTCTTAAAAAAAAAAAAAAAAAAAATCATTTATCATATTTTTTTTCATAAATTTTCATACTTTTTAATCGTATATTCTAAAAAAAAAAATTCAATTTCAATAAAATTATCTACTTTAAACAAGAGCTTTAAAAAATTTGTCTCACGAGGTAAAAAAAAATGTACAGAGTATTAGGTTTCACAGTTCACACAATCAAAGAGGTCGAGGTTAATGAATGAAGATTTTTCATTTTGGGTTTTTATATAGATTTTTTTAATATTAAAATTAATTTAAATTAAATTAAAGTTTATAATTAGTTGTCCTTTATAATGTTAATTAGACAAATGCAGTGCACAAGTCAATTTGCATTTCTTACGAAAGTTAGAGACCTCTGTTGCAATTTTACTTTTATAACAGTTCTATAAGACCTCTGTTGCATAACGAAGGTAAAGGGCTGATTGAAGCTAGCATCCTTAATTCTAAATTCAATCCTCCATTTTCAGCTGGTTCAATCATTCCTGAATGTTAAATTAGTACCAGTCAACAAACATGAGCGCTACACCTCCGGGTATCCTTTTCTTTTTGCCTTTTTTTATTTTGCCCATGTTCATATTTGTTTCTTGAAGAAGAACTCAAATTTGAGCTAGCATTATCATTTTCCCTTAATCAAAATCAAGTTTTTTTTTTCCTGTTATATTTATCTCATAAAGTCCTCCCTTTCACCTCGTTATCATATGTAGAAACATTTTTTAATGAACTAGCTTAAATTTCCCTTTTTTTACTGGGTTCTTTTTGTTGCTTTGGAAATTTAATCTATTTTTGATTCGTTAGAAATTTAATTTCCATATTTTACTGGGTTCTTTTGGTTTCTTTAGAAATTAAATTTCCTTTTTTTACTGGGTTCTTTTCGTTGATTTAGATTTTTTAAATTTTTGCCCATTTTCATATTTGTTTCGTTTACTTTGAAGAAAAACTCGAAGTTTGAGCTGGCAATTATCTTTCTTCCCTTGATCAAAATCATGGGGGGGTTTTTCCCCCTTAATTTATGTCATAAAGTCCTGTTAGAACAAATTTTAGGGGTGGGGTGATATAAAATGCATGTTTGTTGTGTATCATTGCAAATACTTATTTTGATAAGATGCAACAATCCTTTTTGACAAATTTGGATGAAGAAAGGGATTTTGTGATATTATTGGGATTCGGCCAAAAATATTGAAGTACAGTAACTCCCACTTTCTTCTTATTCCTTTGTATAACTTGAAAATATCTTGTGAATTTTATATTTATATTTTCGACCTCTTAGAATCTCAAATTCCCATTTTCTCTGATATGGAAACACATGTATAGATGGGTATTTCTCTTTGTAATTTCATAGTGGATGAATTGCTTAATTATATCACCCCTTGAAGTTTAAGTTTTACTTCTCTTGCCTTTTATCGTATAGGTATTGCAGAAGAGGTATCGTACAAGAGCCGCTTACAACAATTTACACAAAGAGCATCTATTCCACTTCCAGTGTATATAACTTTTTGTGAAGCAGAACATCCTCCCAGTTTCAGATCAAAAGTGAAGGTGAACGGAACATGCTTTACATCTGATACATGTCCATCTAAAAAGATGGCAGAACAAGAAGTTGCCAAGCTTGCATTGGCTGGTCTTATTAACAAAGTAAAGGATGAGGGGAGTTCATTTATACGTGAGGTTTGTTGAATTAAGCACTATGATCTCAGCTTTCCATATTGACTGTTTCAATAGTTGTTTATTAACTTAAGCTAGCACAAATTAAGGTGAGTAGAATACCGTTTTATTTGAAGCTAGCCCTCAAAATGTTGGTAATTTCTCATTGAATTGCAGATATTGTGCTTTTTAGTTTTTCTTAATGCACTTTTATCTCTCTGTCTGGATGCAAAATACAAGACAAATAATACAGTATAGAACTGCTTGAATTTCTTGTTACATCTAGCTGTCTTGAATCCTTTTGCTTTGAGAAGCTCAAACTTAAAGCATCATTTTCAAACTATCTCTTGTATATGTATAATACTGGAGAACAGCACTGCTAGGTAAATTGTGAAATGAAATGTTTGATTTTCTTATCAAATCTTTGCTCTATTGAATATAAACAAAGTAATGTTAATTATGGTTAAAAAAAGGATCTACGCATGAGTTCAGTGTAGCTTTAACTTACTGTTCAAAATCAGCTGAATCATATTTAAAGTTTCAATCAACTCTTAGTGAGATTGAATCTTATGATCAGTACATGTTATGTAAGAACAAGTACTGAAATTTGTACTAGAGCACTAAATTTCCTTTGAATATTGACATTCTAATAATCTCAATTGACATAGCTACTTGAAATGGAAATACATCGATGAAATAAAAAATGGGGGTAATTGAGTTAGAACATCGAGCTTCCCAGTCCAAATCATTTAATTTTCTTATATGCTCCACAACCTTGATTTTTTCATGAAAAAGTATATTATCTAAAGATTAATAACATTTGTATTGATCTTAATATGATCATATTGCCATAAAAAAGTACCTTAAATTAATACCATGCTTAGAGCATCACCAAGAGACTCTTTAAACATGAGATTCTCTTTATTTTAAAGAGTCAATATTTAAAATCATGCTCCAAGAGACTTTTTAAATTAACATTTTAATTAAATGCATTCAAAGTGTTTCAATTTTCAATGTAAGAAAACAATAAAATAATCTAAAGAAAAGTTAGTTAAAATAAAGGATAAAAAAAATAATAAATATTTTTTGGGAGTAGTAAAATTAAGGGTGTGTTTGAGCCACATTATTTTGGAAGAATGTATTTTGGAATAGTAGATTGATGGAGAATGTTTGATTGAAAAAGAAGGAAAATTTATTAATGTGATGAAAAATATTATTTTATTGAAGAATGTGTGGTTGAAAATGAGTAGAAGAATGAGAATGAAAATTTTAATATGACTCAAACAGGTGAGAAAATCTAGAGAGACTCTTGTTTTGTGAGTGTGAGCCCAATACGAATATACGTTTAGTCGGAACAGAGCTNACTCTCTAAATTTATAGATACTTTCCAAATAATAGAATATGCTCTTTAAATATAGAGAGCCTTTTGGAGATGTTCTTACATTATTATTTTAATGATGGGAAACATTGCAACACTTTGTAGTTACTCAAATGTGCTATGTGAGTCAAGAAACCTATCCCTTGTGTACTATATCCCATTTTAGTCTATGAATCTTGTTATTTTCCCCACTATGGGCTGCAAACTGCAGCTGTCCGTAGTATTATAACCTCTTTGAGCTCTGAGTGCATTCAAGTGCTTCCTTGAAGAATGACTGGATAAGAAACAATTATGAAACTTAAACCCCACTCTCTGTCTCTCTCTCTCTCTCTCTCGCACATGTGCGCGCACGCAGGGGAACCTTCTTTTTGTTTGTATCAGATTGTTGCGATGGTCCATTCTCATTTCCTAATGATGTTGAGAGAAATCATATTTTCTCCCTTTTCACTTTCTGTTTTCCTTTTGACATTTGTACAGGGTACGGTGACTACATCCCTTTGCAAGTCTATCATGAATGAGTATGCTGTCAAAATGAATATGGAGAGACCCACTTATGATACAGTTCAGCCAAAGGGGCTGCAGGGGCTGCTTCCAGTTTTTGTATCCTCGTTGATTTTTAATGGTGTTACATTCACTGGAGATACAGCAACAAACAAGAAAGAGGCTGAAAAATTTGCAGCACGTTCTGCTATTTTGTCCATTTTAGGTGCTTATTCAACATTTGAAGTCAAAAATTTGATGTATATGATTCCTTTTTAATGTATAATTTATACGTGTGCGCATGCGTGGATGATAATGGCTTTATGATTTTTTCAGGCTCTGAATCCGGGACAACTATGTCTGAAATAGTCAGGTCTAAATTCAGGTTGTTTGATGCGTTGGAAAGCCACAAGGATCCTTCCATGGTCCATGATAATGTTGGTTCTATGCCTATTGGAGAGAACCGAGGGGGGGACCTAGCCTCATTGAATAAAAGAAAAGAAGTTGAAGTTAATGGTGACACGGGAAATAACACTTTTGCATCACTTGATCCTACATTGGTACAACCATCTATTGTTCAAGGAACACGTCTCCCTCTCCATGAACTCAAAAAACCTAAACCTGGACCTGGACCTTTATTAGAGGTAACGAGTCCTCAAATTGTGTTTGTACCATCAGCTTTGGAACTGTCGTTGCCAAGTTCAACATCTGGGAAAAAGAAGAGTCGTAAAAACAAGAAGGCCAAGAAGAAAAATCTAGTTGATTCTCAGTAAGTATGACTAGAATACTATCTAACATATTGTTGCAAACACAAATGCTGTTATCTTGTGGTTGCAATCTTTGGGTGTAAGCTTCATCTCTCGGTGCTACTATATGTTGGTTTTTATGTTGCAAGTATTAGATTTTAACAGTGAAAATGAGTTTATATAGCCATATTGTATTAGTCTCCAGAATTAGCTTCAGAGTGACTTGGGAGAATATTTGACTTAGCTTGTACAAAGCTGAACTTACATAGCTGGTAACTGGAGTTCTTTTAAGGATGCCATGTTAATTGGGACTAAATACCAAGGGAGCCCGGAGTTGAACTCTTAAAAATTCTTTATGTTTGCCAGGAGCGATGTGAACAACAGAAATGATATTTACAAGTCATTTTATACATTTTATTTTATCTTTATAAACATATGAAAGCACCACATTTGGACCACTTTGTTGCAACACATTGATACACCCTTAAGGAGCTGTCTTAGAATAGAAGTAGATTTGTGTGTGACATGACTGTAAGTTTTCAAAGTATTACGGAAATTTATTATTTACTCCTGTGTTAATAAGCAAAAGGATTTATGTTTTTTGTCCAATAGTTTCATGTCGGACTTAAATTTGAATTCACAATTTTATCTGTAATTTGACAGCACAAAATTGAGTAATTCACCACGTGAGCTACATAAATACGAGAAAAGAAGCAATATTGTGAGCGTAAAAAGTCTCTATTGCCGTGTTGATGTCACCGATTTGTTTGAGGTGTTATTATCAAAGAACAAGTGATTGATCCTCTGTTTATATTCTAAGAAGTGAAGTGTAGGAGTATATCTTAACTACTATCTGTTCACATGAGTCTTGATGAAGTTGTTTGACGAAATTGTTCCTCCAAATGCAGGTTGGCTATTGTTTCAACGCAGCCGACTCCTGCTTTTTCAGTGGCCAATGAGTAGTTCAGTCCAGTATCCTTCTGCTAGGTAATCTCGCTGACATTATTTTGGTGTTTGGTTTTATGCAAATAAGGCAATGCAACTGTGCCTCTTTTGTTACCACTCACTACTAGTGCCTCTAGTTCATATCAAGGAAAGGAAAAAGGATTCTAGGGGTAAAATAATACTTCTGAAATGTAAACTATTTTGCAGTTGTTAGATTGATAACCAACTTTGGAAAATTATATAATAGTACATGTTGATCGAATTCTGGTCAATTGGCAGAGATTTTTTTCTCTATTTTAATTATTTTTGACAAGCTAAAAAGAAAAGAACTCAAGAAATATTATGAAATTTGAAGGTTGATGACAGTGATGGATGTGGCATGGTGAATGTTATTGATATAGAACAAGGGGGATGAGAAGTTGTCAGTAGGGTGTATTTTTTATTTTATTTTTGCCATACGACTATTGATTTCTTGATTTTTTTTTCATTCTCCGTTCAAAATGGCTAAAAATCTTAATTTTGTTCTTTTTCATTTTGTTGCATGAATAGCTTAAAGCAGTCAATCTTATGTTGTAACACACGATGTTATTATATGTTGTATTCATTATCATTCTCTTCTGTATTCAGGCTCTCTCACTTCCTAAAGCGAAAATGATGGTTCTGTTGCTTTTTCGCCTGGTACCATGCCATCTTATAGTTCGGTAGTAGTGTAGTACGACTGAGAAGCATGTTATCAATTGTAACGACGGTTCACTTCTATATCTTGTTTTATTGGCTTAAATAATGACTTGTAAGATGTATGCTTTGTTGAGGTTCTAGGTTTATTTCCAGTTTCTATCTGAACAGTTATGTTTGACTCCTGCGAGAGTGTTATTTACATAGTCTTCCATTTTTTTTAATGTACGTCTTTTTCGGGGAATGACTATCACCTTGGTCATTTTTCATCTATGGTATTGCTTTATTATGACCGGAACTTGTATTAGAAGTCTGTTTCTTAGAACCCTTAGAAGATCACCGATGATTGTGGAGTAATGCTATTGATACCTCTAGTGTTTAACTTCAGTTTAGGCGACAGTGATTTATGGGACAAATCTAGGTGGATCCCACTGCCACCCAGATCAATAGTGTGTAGTTTAGAATGGTATAGTTAATGCGAAGTGATTTTCAACTTTGAGTGTGTGGTGATGATGACACCCCTAAAATGTTTAACTATGAGTGGTATTTTTCTTGGTGGAAAGCATTTTTATATGCATCTCTATAGCCACTACATTATAAAACACTTAGGGTGGATTGGATTGTCAATATTTTTAATGGAAAATGTGTTTTTTTCACCTGATTTTCTCTTTTTGTGTGTTTGATTGACAATTTTTAATGCAGAAAATATTTTCCTACTTTTAGTCACGTGATCATATTTTCCTTGAAACATTTTCTTTATGGTGATGTGATTTTTATTTTTCAGGTAATTCATTATCTTTCTCTCTCCTTCTCATCTACCCACCAATAAAAAATGGACATGTATAATATTTTCAATATTGAAAACTAAATCAATCAAACACATTTAATTAATAATTTTCATACAAATAAGTTTTAGGTAATTGAATTGTCTAGAATTTATTTTCTTTCCATAAAAATTTCATGTCCGCAATCAAACGCACTATTAGTCAACTAGTCGAGTCTAAATACATGCAACTGGTAAAACACGATTTGTCTTAGTCAATTTTCTTTTGGTTCTTGGCTTTTTCTTGATAGTGGTCTACTTTTCCAAGTCAATCTTGGCAAGGCCTATATCTCCATGCGTAAACACTCATTATTTTTTGCTTACACCACTCATCTTCTTTATCCTCTTAGTTTCGATTTTCTCCATGTTTTTTCTTGAAAATTTTCTGTGTGGTTCTCTCAAATCTATGAGAAACAATGAAAGGCGAAGAAGTGTGAGATTGGGAGAGAAAAGTGGAGCAGTTAAAAGAATGAAAAGTGGCTTAAGCAGTAAAGCTCTTTTGATGGCTAAGATGATTTCTTGGAGAAAAGTGCAGGATGATGACGAAGAAGGGCGAGAGGATATTGATTTTGGTGATGAAGACGACGTGGTTTGGAAGAGAACAATTATTAAAGGCGAGAAATGTCGTCCTTTGGATTTTTCTGGGAAAATTTTGTATGATGCTAATGGGAATCTTCTGCCAGATTCACCTCATCATCCATGTTAAGGTGATGGACACAAAAGATGATTTGCTGTCAGTTTTTCTGCTTATTTTGTGTGTTTGTTTTGAGTTTTGATGATAATAATGATATCCGAAGGTAGAAACAAATGTAAAAACACGACCAACGTTGTATATAGAATAAAAAGATGTCGAGAGTTTGGTTAGGGACTCGTATGGATAGTCGATAGAGATAAAAGACATTCACACTATGAAGACGAGATGATTTAGTGGATCGAGGAAGGTAGAGTTGAAGTATGTTAGAGTAAGGTCGGCCCTTTTCGAAGGTTTCAATTTCATCACCACTTTGTACACAAGATCACAATAATCCTATTGAACTTCCGTCTATTTCGACTCCACCTATCTGAAAATGTTCAATAAGTTCCCTTCATGTCTTCTTCATTGATATGTGCTTTGACGATGTTTTTCTGTTTTACCTTTCTTAATTAATTAAGAATAAAACCTACAATCTTTCGCATGTGTCTTTCAAAAAGAAAACTTGGGATATGATCACGAAACCATATTTTAAGTGCCAACACTTCGTAAATTTTACGAAATGTATAGATGAAAAGTGGTGTGATATTTCAAAAATGTTCACTTTGCAAAATTTTGCAAAAAAAAAAAAAGAAAAAATGCGAATGACCATTACACCCTTTCATACAATCTCCATCACCACCAACCGACCCCAGCAAACCACCATCACCCTACATCAAACTCCGGCGACAAGGGAACATCGCACCACCACTCATATCTAACCCCTCAAGTCAATAAGTGGGTCAAGTCCACGTACTCGTATAACTTACTCATCCACACATCTTGATTTTTGGTACAAGAGATGTAGCATCAGTAGCAGTTGACCACTGAAATGGTTGCATTCTAGGTGGACAACGTCAATTCTTTTTTGCATCATTGTTATTTTGTCTCGATTATCCACCTAGTATATGGGTGTGAAAGAGGGCGAGCCACTCATCCACTAGTTAGCTGAGCTTGTCTTGGAGTCGAGTCGTGGCGTGAGACTGTGAGTTGAACTGATATTTTTCCTGCGAGCTGATGATTGGCTTGCGGCTTGCTCCCAATGTGAAAAAAAATTTAAATTTCATTAACGAAACTTAAAAATAAAAAATGAGGTGAGACTAGCGACTGGTAAGTCAGCTCGACTCAACTCACCCAAAATGAGCTGGTAGGGTGAACTGAGCTAGTCTGTGCAAAACTCGACTCAATCTATTATACCTTATAACTGTCAAATTACTTATGATTTATAGATATTTTGCAATATAACCGTTCCTATCCCATCAAATTGAAAATTTTTGGAAAGTAGGGTGGGATTTATAAACAGTTCTTATTCATCATTCTAGTTAATTAATTTTTTTGATATAATTTTATTTTTAAATAGGATTTAAATTGAAAACATATAAATAAAAGAGTAATGCTATTCATCTCCATTGGGATTACAAACACAGTTTAAGTGACGTTAATGTGACATTAAATGATAGGTGAAATTAAATTAAGTCATTTAATTTCACATTTCATTCAACATATCATTTAGAGTCGCCTAAACTGTGTTTGTAACCCCACTGGAGATAAATAGCATTACTCTAAATAAAAAAATTGGGACAGGTTTCAAAAAAATGGGGGAGAAGGACCATATTTCCCGTCCCTGTTTTGTTGACTATTAAAGCGGGGGTAATGCAAGACGGGTCCGGTTCGGAGAATTTTACAATCACTAAACTTATAATTCAAAAGGAAATTATTTATTTTAAACTTACTTATTTACTTATAAGTAAATTTATTGTAAAATTTTTTAAGCTTTGTCTAACATCCCTGATTAAATAGAAATTTAAAGAATTTATTGCGCTACTATTCTTAACAAAGTGAATCTTTTAAAATAAAAATTCAAATACGATATGGTATTATAAAGTTCAAAAGGCGCAAATGATCAATTCGATTTGTCTAAAAATAAAACATGTAATTAGATTCAAAAATTTATTTTTTCAAATGAAAAAAATTCCTCGTTGTGTAAATATTAAAAGCAAGAACAACAAAAAAAGAATTTGGAGTCAAAACTCAATACAAACATCATGATATCATTCTCAAGAGTATCAACTTGCTAATTTCATAGAAAGAATTATAAATTTATTGAATCACTTATTTACGGTACTAGTTTTTGCCCGTGCATTGCACGAGATTGGTTATTTTGTAGGTAATGTTATGTGTTGAATTCTCCTTCATTCAATTATATTTTTTCTATACAATATTTCATAACTTAAAGTGTGATATCAGTAAAATTGTATAGTAAATACACTTTACCTAACAAAAGTTGTGATGACATCAAATGCAAAAAGATTAGGATTGGTTAACCTGCATGTAAATTGGAATTTAAGAAAATGTTCTTACCAAAGAGCCTTTGCGATGATATACTGAAGCTAGTGTATGACTATTAACAAATTCCAAGTCGCATATTGATCATAATCTTATGGTATTTACCCATCGGCTAGGTAAATATAGGACATTTTGGTGGATATGGTATTTCGTTTTATTTCTTTCTATGCTTGTAATGTGTCTTGTTAGCTTTAGCTATCTTCTCCGACCATTTATTAATGACAAAAGATAGCCTCTAAACTATCTCTTTGTACTCATTCAGAAACTCTAGTTGAAAAAATAGGAACTTCCTAAATACAGCCAGAATTTATTACAGAAACACGATAACAGACTTTAAGATCAAATCATTACTAAATTAGTTATTAAGCAGCACATAAGAAAACTGCAAGTGCAAAACAATGCAAACACGTCAACCAGGGGAATAAGGCAACTTCTGTGCTGTAACTGTATCGTGGGGGTCTCTTTAGTTGTGTTATTTAGTATGAATCAAATGAGTGTAACAGATATTTCCAGCATTTTTTTGCGGAGATCGGGGTCGAGGGAGCAGCGCCCCTCGTGAGGGCTCGGGGAGTGTGCCTCCGCGTCTCTGTGGACCCATAGAGACACGGTCGTATCTCCGTGTTAAAAATCTCTAAATGTAACTCCATTTTAATAAAATTCATTTTTGTAAGAAACCCCATAAAAGTTATAATTATTAATTTTACATCCAAATTTGCATTTTTATTGAATTATAGATATCATCCCACTAAACACAATATAAACCCGCCACAACTTTTGGAAAGATCATATGATTGATCAAAATCTCAAATTACACACATTATTTACGTTGATTACTACTGCTAAATATAACTAACCTTCTCCAAATTGAACTTCACACATTTTGTAGTAGCAATGGATAGGGTAAATTCCATTTTCTTCTTTAATCTCTTATTAATGTTGTGTTTTGATTACGTTATTATGTTTACAACAAAGAAGAAACGGGTGTACAAGTAGGCAACAGTAACAAAGTGGAGGACGCAATTCACACAACAATGGTGAAAACAAAAAATATTTTGAAGAGAATAAAAACAACCCAGACGGAGTAATTGTATTAGGTGTTTATATCATTGTGAAGGATGTCAAGATGAAGTGCTTCGATGCCTCCGCTGGTTTGAAGGTTCCAACGTTCGTATTCTAATATGAGTTTTTGATTTTAGGTGAATTTTTGTATAATGTGAATGCTAATTGATTTTTGGTGTGATTTTTGGGAGTCGAGAAGATTGAAATTGATGCTAATTGATTTTTGAAGTTTTCTCCGTGCAATACGAAGAAAAACTCCGTGCTACACGAAGGAGACACGGGCGTGTCTCCGCGGAGATGGTGTCTTTGTGGGCCACGGAGACACGAAGATGGTGTCTTCGTGTGCCACAGAGAACCTCTCATAAACGTACTGTGAGAACTGATAAAGTACCATCAGTTTGAGTCAAGAATTGCGACTAGTTGGGAGGTTGTGAACATCAAAATTCTCACGACAACTTGTGTGCAGCATAAAAGTTATCTATCCTCTTGTCTTATAGTTACTATGTCACTAAATTTAAGTCAATAAATATGGCTAGTTTTTTTTTTTCTTTGTCCACATATGGAACAGTGATATGTGAAGTAAAATCACAAATGAATAGTAATCCTCAAAACCTCTTTTTAAAGAGAGGGTAGATAATGCATTATAACCCATTGGACCGAGAATCAGATGGCTCATTGCCACATGAACCGTTAATAAGCACTCTTAACGATATATAATATTATTTTACACTTAATTCAACTAGGCAAAATACACCTACCTTATGCATGTTAATATTCATATTCAAATATATAAAAACAAAATTTTATGTTTAATATTTTAGTACGACAAATACTATATAAGAATGGCAAAATGTCCCATTCAAATAAGTCGGAATTCACCATTTCGTAAGTAAATGAAGGTGAGGATGGTGAACGCGATCCCAACCCGACCCTTATTTTTTGTCACATTAAAAATAAGTAATAGATAAACGGGAATGTTTCAATTCTAGTGTCTCCCATCCCATCTTGGCCCGCATTCAAGGGCCGACGAGGAAGGGGCATGGAGAGTCACGTGACCCCAACTTTAAAAAATTGGATTTTTTTTCTGAAATTACATAAAAGCAGTTTGATTTAAGGGAAAAATTCATTTCTTCTACTTTTATCTTTACCCTATTTCAAAAATAACAAAACAACTTTCACATTTCAAAAATCAGATATTTTAACTTATACATACACAT